AAGTGGGGTGAAACACCGCACCTACGGTCGCACCTTGGCCTAGGTGGTTTGCAGGAGATGGCAGCCCCCGGGCGAGCTGGGGCGAATGGGACCCTTACCGTGTGTAAGGCGGAGTGTTGTCAGCTGGTTGGGTCCTTTCGTTATACTTCGGGGAAACTGACGCCCGGGGAAGAGACGCCAACATCCTTGTGACTGGTTACGTCTGTCATTCGAAAGGTTCAGCACCAGTTTTCAAGTCCACTCCACTTGGCGAGCCAGTTTTCCCTGACCCTTTATTTTCATAAGTATTGTTGAAGAGAATTTGGTGTGGTTTTTCAAACAAATTGGAACCTAGCAGTCAGACGTTGGCGTGTGACACCCTCCCCCTTCTCCATCCTCTGGGTAAAATTTATTTTAGTCCGTGTAAACATGCTAAGTGCCGACATCTCTTGGTAGTTACTGTGTAAAAGAGCTTAATGGGCTGTAGGGAGTTGGTCATTCAAGAAGGGTAGTTTATTTGCAGGTAGGCGTAGGCAGCGTTTGTGTCAGGTTTGTGCAGGATCTTAAACACGGTACTGGGGCTGTAACACTTGTGTGAGGCCCCCCCCCTTTTTTTTACTCCAGAGAAGCTGTTTCTTAGTGGGGGTGACTTTTGTCTCAAAGGGGTCAAAGTCAGGGAACATTTTTGGTTACAACTGGGAAGTGGGAGTGCTACCGGAATCTAGTGTTTAGAGGCCAAGGTTGCTGATAAACATCTTAAAATGCTTAGGATAGTCCCCACAGCTGGGAATTCGTGGAACCAAAATATCAGTAGTGCTGAGCTTGCCATACCGTGCTCCACGATTCACACATAGCTGTTGACTGCATTTTCTCAGTGCTTAGTGCTTGTGAGGTATGCCCTGTGAGTTAGGCACTGTGATAAGTGGGTTAGGGGGAGGTAGGAATTCGTGCCTTTTTTCTTTGTATTGAAGCTTTCCTGCTACTAATCAATGTGGCTGTTGAACATTTGAAATGTGGCTTCTGCTGCTGAGGAACTGCTTTTTGAACTTTATTTAATTATTCACATGTGGTTAGTGGCTACTGATTTGGACAGCGAAGTTCTAAGTCTTGGAAAATCACAGCAAGGCCAAGGAAAGGAGTAGTTTTATTAACTAGTGTGTTATGTTTTCAGAATGACACAGTAACTATCCGGACCAGGAAGTTCATGACCAATAGACTACTTCAGCGGAAGCAAATGGTAAGGAAGGGGCACATCAAAGTTGGGTTAATTGTTCTTCAGTTTTAAAGATGTGTTTCATTAAATGCTAAACTTGATATTTCCTTTTAGGTCATTGATGTCCTTCACCCTGGGAAAGCAACAGTACCCAAGACAGAAATTCGGGAAAAACTAGCCAAAATGTACAAGACCACACCAGATGTTATCTTTGTGTTTGGATTTAGAACCCATTTTGGTGGTGGAAAGACAACTGGCTTTGGCATGATTTATGATTCCTTGGATTACGCAAAGAAAAATGAACCCAAACATAGACTTGCGAGAGTAGGTATCTTTATTTTGTTCAACAGCTGCTGAAGGCATTTTTCAATAGCACTGTATTGCGGGTACTGTGAAATAAGCAAGAGCAAGCAGTCTGGGGAGGGACAACATACAGATCTAAAGAACTCTTAAGAGGTTAAGAGAAAAGGTTCTTTGATAAAGGAACATGGAGACTATAGGGGTTCAGAGGTGGGGTCTGCAGCATTTGAGGGGGTAGCTTTTGAGCAGGGTCTAGAAGGGCAGGTGAAGTATTATTACTGGAGATAGGAACTGGAAGTAGGGATGAGTTTGGAAAGGTAGGTTGGCACCAAATAAAGTGAGATCCTTAATGCCAAACGTCTGAGTTTGGACTTAATTCCCATAGGTAGCCAGGAACTGCAGAGGTTTTTTGATAATTTCCTGAGTGCCAGGCACTAGAGTGAACTACAGTATACTATAGTAGTGGGCTGGGCAAGCTTCCAAGCTTATGTTCTAGATAGTAAACTAGCAAGTGGATTGTTACTTTTTATATCTATCCTCTTAAGCCCTTTTCTTCCTTGCTATTAGATAAATCTTCCTATAGAAGAGCTGTGAGGGAAGTCACTGTGGTGTGGTAGGTAGATGCTGCACTCTTTAATCCGGTGGTCTTAGAGGTGTTGAGTAGGTGACATTGAAGCTGAGGTCCTCGTAAAGATGTGGAAGCAGCCTTCTAGGCAGCAGGAACAGCAAGTGCGAAAGCAGGCAGAGCAAAGAGGAGTAGATTATAGCAGTCTCTATGGCTAGTGGGTGGCACTCTTGGAAAAGGCTCCTGTCAGCTGGGAGTAATAAATCTGGAGATGAAATGGAAGAGACCCTGAAGGAGTCACATGGGGGGACCTTGTTAGTTGTAGGTTTAAGGCTGGACAATAATAGCCTGTTCCCCTCAACGTGCCATGCAGGGAGTGCTGAGTGGACATTTGTTTCCTATACTATTTTGTATGCACTGTTTCTTAATTTAATGACCCTTTCTGTTCAAGTATTAAATGCACTTGGAAAGTTTCAGTTTGGGGAGCTGCATTTCTTGAGGTCTAGCCTGGTCCAAGTCACCTGTATAGATCCTTTTTCTTCCAGCATGGCCTGTATGAGAAGAAGAAGACCTCAAGGAAACAGAGGAAGGAGCGCAAGAACAGGATGAAGAAGGTCAGGGGCACGGCCAAGGCCAGCGTTGGTGCTGGCAAAAAGGTATGGTGCCTCGGGGAGAACAAGTGTCTACTGCAGGTCTTGAGTTTCTAGAAAAAGGGTTTTATTGTCTAATAACCTTTCTTAATGTTTCTTCCCTTCCACTTCTTCTGGATTACAGAAGGTAATGTATTTTGAGAAGCTGTGTATTGTAGTATCTTAACACCACCTCAGTAGAGTAGCTTCTCCCACAGTAGCTTTGCCACAGCTCACAGATTAGCATAGCGTGGGGGCCACATCGGTTCAGTGGTCATCCTGGTGGGCGCCTTGCAGGCCCAGTCAGGAGAAGTTTTCATTTTACTGCTAATTGGCATAGACTCACCGGAGGAGCAGATCTAGTTTTCTGAGACTGAACTTACTTTAAAATGGACAACTGGGTTAAGAAGCAGTTGAATCAATGTGGCCCGTGTTTTCCTGGCATGCTGGAGAGGCAGCTGAAATCTCGGTTGTTTACCTCTCCAGCTAGCCAAGACTTCAGTGATTTTAATGATAGCAGCTTTTTACCAGCTTTGCCTAGCTAATTCTAAACAGTTGAATTAAGGTGTTGGGTTGTTAAATTAACAAATAATCAAGTGTTCTGTGAACTTTGTTTTTTTTGCCTTTTCCGTCTTTCTTGGATTTCTTGTTCATCAGAAATGAAGTGTCTGGCAGGTACTGAGATTTTGAGCACGGTGTGGGATGCATCACCTTCACTGAGTTTGCTTTGATGCTTTTTGTGCATGTTGGCTTTTGAACAACAGAGTTTCACAGTATGGTTTGTTATAACGCCACTGCTGTGTTTTAAAATAGTATACTGTGAACAGAGGAGGAACGGTTTTGATCACACTTATTTTGGAAACTCAAATGCATGTTTTGGTGTGAAGGGACCCAGTGGAGGAAGGTGGATATCCTACTAAGTAGGCACCTTTTAATTACACTTGGGAAGCTGTGTCCCAGAAAGTTACATACTCGGGAAATGGCTTTACTTAACACGGTTGGGAAAGGTCCTCTCATCCAGTTATGAGCGGTCTTTCCTTGGGGACTTTGGAGACTGGTCCATTCTCTGGGAGCTCTGGTAATAAACTGGTCCAGGACACCTGGCAATGCCTGTGTCCTGGGATCATCCACGCAAAACTGCCTTGTACCATCTCCTTTACCATCTCACTGTTTTTCACTGATCTCTGACTTTTCATCTGATAGATTTTTTTAGTTGAAAAATTTCCTGTATAATTGTATATTCACATTAAAGCTTTTGATGCATACGCTTTTTCTACAAGTATTTGGTCAGAATGGTCCACTAACCAATTTTAAGCACATTTTGCACATTTGAGCAGCCTAAACCAGTTGTAAAGTGGGCTGAGCCTGGGTTGGGGGTAGTAGGGTTCTGGAACAGTGGTGGTCACTGCCCCTGTGTGCTGTGACACCCTGCCAGGCCATGTCGTAAACCTGTTCTGCCTGCCTGGAACTCAGATCACATTGACTTCCCAGCACCATGGAGTTAACAGTAACCAACTGCCAGAGGAACTACTTGCTGCTTAAAGCCACTCCCTGTTTGTGAGGCTTACCCCTGTTGACAGAAGTCTGGAGGTTGAAGAAAAGAACAGTCAATATTTGTCTTCTGATCTAGATTTGAAGGATGCTTAACACATTCTCTTCTTCATTTAGCCTGAGTCTCATGTGTTAGAGCTCAGTGGTGACAGCTGCAGAGGGGCAACCTGTGGGGACCTGAGCCGTCACTTTTCCTCCTCAAGTTGCACTGGTGCATTTCACTAGCACTGCTCTGAAAAGCCACCTGGAAAATGAATGCATAAATGAGCACAAGCTTTTTATTTTTTATTGATTTTAGAAAGAGGAAGGGAGAGAGAAACATTGATTTGTTGTTCATGTATCTATGCCTTTGTTGGTTGCTTCTTATAGGTGCCCTGACGGGATTTAACCCTCATTCTTGGCTTATCAGGACAGTGCTCCAGCCAACTGAACTACTTGGCCAGGGCAAGCACGTGTATTTTTTGGCTTAAAAAAGTCAGGCATAATAGTGTTCCTTTTATTTCAGTTTTTGTTCAGATGTTGGAATTGGTCAGTTGAAGCATTTTAACGTTAGCTAAATTCTGCCTCTTTTAATACTAATTTGCATTACTTTTGTTGGCTGTGAATGGTGGCTTTTAAAGTATTGAGCTGAGCCAAGTTTTAAAAGACTTGCTTGATCATGTAGGGCTCTCTCCCATCACAGTTAAATTAGACTTTAGTCTGGGATGATTACCACTCTGTCCATGGTGCTAGTGTGTAGTGTGCCCAGCACAATGTTGCTGGACAGAGCAGAGGGCCCCAGGCTCAGGTATGCCTACTTCATCTGTAAGTAGTAGGCAGTGGCAGCCTGGGTTGGCATTACCGTTATGCTGATCTCTCTTCACTGTGAAGTCATCACGCCACCTTATTTGCATAAGAACCAGAGTAATCAAGCAAGGTATTCTCAGAATTGGGAGTAATAAAATCAGTGAGTGTGTCTAAGGAGTGTTCTATATACAACTGCAAAGAACAAAATGATCATCTTCAAGGTATCTGATTGCATGCACTTAAATGCAGGTTATTTTGGAGTTTCAAAGGGGACTATTAATGAATGTTTCTTTCCCCTCTTCCCTTCTCCCTTCCCTGCCACTGATTCAGTGAGCTGGAGATTGAACAACAGGTATATATAATTCAAGCTTTTCATTTAGCTTGCTAGACTTGGTTTATTGACAAAATTTAAAAGTAGGGCATGTGAAATAGATGTAGAAGTAGATTTGCAAATGCTCTTGAGTTATAGCCTGTTAAATACTAATAGTGACATGGTTTTGTTTTTAAAATTTAGTAATATTTACCTCATTTTTGTTTCGTTCCTAACTTGAGTGTTTTATTTCTTGATGCTTGCGTTGTGTTATGATTACACAAGCCTAACATGATTCTAGGTTACTAATATTTGTTCTGCATGAGTGTCATTAATTTAGTTTTTTGAAAACTTTGAACTTGAATTTGTGAAGTACATTTCAGTTTCTAACTAAATTTTTTTTTCTTTGATTCACAGAAGGAGTAAAGATTCTTCAGTGACTTTATCTATGGTGATTGTGCAGATTTTTCATGAGAGGATTAATAAACTAAGAACTTTTATGTGTCTGGTTGTTTGAAATATGTTTGCCGTTTACTGGTAGTGTAATTAGTCTGCTGTTTAGTGGACTTACATTGCTGCCCAAGTTCACATGATCCATGAAGCATTCACTGAAAACTTGGTATGATGGGGTGGTGTTTATCCTTCCATTTAATGGCACAAAGACGTCAGGAGTAGAGGATGGGCACCATGGGGCACATAGGGCTCATGTTAGTATTTGCCATCAGTGTAGTCGGTGTGTATCTGAAAGACACTCAAAATCTGAATTCCTTTTTGGTCTTTCTAGAGCCCCCCTTAGTTTTTGTTACTGAAAAGATTATTTGCTGGCTTCAATAAAAATTAAAATGACTAGGTCACATTTTCATTTATCCTAAACAGGATCTATCAGAATTGTTACTTGTGTGTTGTATAGGTTTATGGTTTTGGGATATGTGACTGGTTTATTATGAGTGGGGAATTTGAAAGAGGCGCTAGTGGAATGACTATTTGGGTGTGGTGTGTAATTGCTTGTTAACTCTGATTATACATTTTGTGAAACATTGAGGGTTATCTAGTGCTACTCTTCCTTTGCTGGATGCTGATCATGTTTTTTTCAGGCATCAGGATGTGTATTCCTCCTGAACTTTGGGTTATTGTTCAGTTGTATGGGGTTGGGAGATTTGAGGAGGGTTTTTAGGGTTAGTGTGTGGCTTGAGGTACCTTTTGAGAGGGTAAAAAATACGAAGAGTTTGGGTGTTTGAGAGAGGAGGAGGCATTAATGGCTTGTGGGTCTTAGGTGACATTTTCCCCTGAAGTTTGGCTTGTACTTCGGGTGAGTCCATCTGGGAGTCAAGTTTACAAATGCTATTAAGAACCATGCAGTGGATAAGTTCCAGGGAAACCTCAGGAAGCAGTAGAGGACTTGAAAGACCTGCTTGGCTGGGTAGAAAGGGGATCCAGGAAAAAGCAAGAATTGTGACCACAGAAGACATACCAGGTTTGCAGGAGGGAATGGTGAGGGCTTGACTGAAGGAGCTCCAGCCTGGAGGTTAGGGTGTGAATAGATACCCGAGGGGGCTGAACCTGCTGGCTGAGGGTGGGGGCTCCATTTGAGGTTATGCTGAGGCTGCATACCTGTGTGGAACCAGTGGCCTGTTGGGTTCTCTTGCTAGGACCAGGTAATAGCAGATTGTCTCTAGTAGGGAGAGTGAAGGAGTCGGGGGACTTAGGTCTATACACCAGTTTTAACCCAAATGACTAATGGGTGTGGAGTAGGGGATTTGAGGTGAGCGGCGCGGAGGCCAGAGGTCATTCATGCCTGATGACAAATGTTGCAGTAGGGGATGCAGTTTCCAGTGACTGAGTTTGGGAGTAGAGCACTGGTGGAGCAGCATGCAGGGGCAAGACTGGGAAGATGCTGGGAAAACGGAGAGGTTATATTTGGTCTGGCCAGGTATAGGGCAGGAGGTGAAGCTGGAAGCAGGGTTTGGAAGGGTGTGGTCCCAGGAGTTGGGGGTCACAAAGTTGAGCAGGGGTAGTGGAAACTGGATCAAGAACTGAAGGTAGGAGGTGGTTTTCATAGTGGGGTACTAAGGTACTGATAGGATAAAGGGCACAGCTGTAGGGAGCCTGAATGGAGGTGAAGGTTAGCATCAAAGTCACAAGATGTAGAGTTTCTTTTTTATTGGGATATGCGCAGGGAGGGCAGTTTGTAGTGTATCCTCTTTGGAGAAGGGGATTGTGATTAACTCTGGCTGGGCCTGTTTTTCTAGGAGAGCTGCCTGGGCTGGGATGTGAAAGTCACAAACTGGCAGTCTTGGTCCAGAAGCTTTGTTGGACAGGTGAGCATTTTTAAATGACAGATTTTACCAAAGATTCAGATTTCCAGCCTCTTTAAATATCAGGAAGCAACAGCTGGCCCCCCTTCCTGCATGATGGCAGTTGGTAAGGTTTACAGATTTGGCTGCAAGCCTCAGGATAGGTGTTTGCTCTCTAGTCCACCATGGCTTCTGCTCCTGCAGCTAGCCTGCATCCTCACATGTCTGTCCTCTGGTCCTGTGTCCCTTCTGTGCTCCTTTCCTTCCATTTTGTCCAGCTGATGGGCAAGTCACTTGGTCCCCTGATTGGGTTTAAATAGGGCTCTCAAGGGTACTTATTCTGCTGACCTGACTCTCAAGGCTATTTTGAAGCTCACATGATGATGCATCTTTGAGAACAGTTTGGAAACTGAAGTGCTAAGCAAGTGTGACAGGAAGCAGGGACTTGCAGGGATTCTCTTTAAATTGTGGGCAATTGTGCTATTGAACTTAAGGGTTCCTGGAGATTCAGCACTTCCTTGCCCCTGACAGTAATCAGACCACACTGGTGCTGTCAACAGGCATTGAAAGCATCTGTAAAAATGCAAGGTTGCATTTACTAATCAGAGTCAACAGGGAGACCACATCTCTTCCCTCAACTTGTTACTAGTGGGGGCTGAGGCTTTGTGAGAATAGTAGCAAGGATCATTGGAGAGTGGTGAGAAGCAGCCAGAGGTGGTTCTGAAAAAGGCAGTTCTGAAGAGCCCAGTGAATACTGGGGTGCTTTATAGCCTGCCTTAGAACTACACCCCCAAATTCCTTTAGTAGCTGCACATTTTAGGAGCTAAAGTTCCTAAAATATCTAAAATCCACAAACCATTGTCCACCTCTGCACTGCCACATCACCACCTCTCACCTGAATGACTACAATTTTCACTGGCTACCCTGTTTGCAGTCCTGTTCTCTTTTTAAATTATGTCTTTATTGATTTCAGACAGAGGAAGGGAGAGGGGGGAGAGGGGGAGAGAGAGAGAGAAACATCAATGATGAGAGAGTCCTTGATTGGCTGCCTCCTGCATGCTCCCTACTGGGGATTGAGCCCGAAGCCTGGGGATGTACCCTGATCAAGAATTGAACTGCGATCTCCTGGGTCACAGGTTGATGGTCAACTGCTGAGCCATGCCGGCCAGGCTCCTGTTCTCTCATCCTTCTGCAGCCAGAATGATTTTTTGAAAACAAATGTGTCTTCATGTTAAAACTTTTCTGTGATGTCCCGCTTCTCAGAATAATAACCAAAATCTTATGGCTCAGGAAAATTATATTTTCCAAAAATCTGATTCTGCATCTAACCCCTGCCTCCAAGCAAAGTTGGAAAGGGGGGTTTGATGGAGGGGAGCTAGGCTTCAGGAGCAGCCCAGGGAGGATGTGTGTGGTGTCACCACAAGGACAGGTGGGGAGACAACGAGGTAACAGCAGCAGCCACCAGTTCTTTCAATTTGCAGCGTCCCCTTACTGTGCCCAGGCTTGGGGTCTTGGGAAAAGCAACATCTTAAATACACCATACTCTTGGAGCTGAGGCAGGTGCTGTTAATAAATACCTCCTTTAATGTGCACAGTAACCCTAAGAGTCAGGTCTTAACTGGACCCACGTTGGAGAGGGTTTAGAGCAGTTAAGCAACTTGCCCAACTAAGTGATGGGGCAGAGATTGGAACGCAATTGAATGACTCCAGTCCTCGTGCATTTATTCACTCAAATATTGAGTAGCTGTTTTCTGTAGGACATAAAATGGTGTATAAGACTCATGATTTATATACCTACTATGTGTTCAGCAAGGTGTCTTGCCAGGGAGCTATTGAACCATTTACTAGATGGCCAACTGAATTCCCCATTTGCTACTGAGTTGTGTGCTAGTCCCTGCCCTGGGAGATGGATGAAGAAGCAGTTCCTCTTCAAAGCTCGGAGTGGGCTTAGCAACTTAAAACATTTTCATGGCTTGGCTTCTGCTCCTTACCAGGAAGCAACAGACAGTGCATAATTCTATTAAATTGTGTCATAGGGATCAGAGGCGAGACGATCAATGCAGGGGGCTGGGTGTTGGCTCGCTTTTGAGAGGATAACATCCCCTGGGGTGAGACACGTGATCTGATCTGGACACACTGGAGCAGGGGTCTCACTTGGGACCATGAAAGCCGGGAAGGAACACAGGTGGAACAGCAGGCAGCTGTGGTATGAGGTAATACCAGTCGTTCTGCTGGAGGAAGAGGCGACCAGATTGGGAGGGTG